TCTCTGGAGCCAGTACTAAGGCTTGAACTCAGGGCCTCATGCTCTCCACCAGTTGGTTTTTCACTCAAGGCTTACTGCTCTACTACTTAAGCCATACTGCCACTTCTGGCTTTTTCTGAGTAGTTTATTTCAGGTAAGAGTCTCACACAAGACTTTTCTGCTTGGGCTAACTTTGAACCATGATCCTCAGTTCTCAGCCTCCTGAGTACCTAGGACTACAGATGTGAGCCACTGGCACTCAGCACTTCTGGCTTTTTGATGGTTAATTGGAAGTAGAGTCTTACAATTGTTTTGTCCAGGTTGGCTCTGAACTGCAATTTTCAGCTCTCAGCTTCCTGAGTAGCCGTGATTACAGACATGAGTCAGCAGCACCCAGGCTGGGGATGTAACTCAGTGGTAGAATGCTTGCCTAGCACACACAAGGCCCTGCTTTATCCCAGAAAGGACAAACCAGAAAGACCAAAAATACATACATAAATAAAAGAAGCAACATAATTTCATCTAAAGTAAAATATAACTTCTCTGTGTCTGACACAAAAGTAATGGTAACTCACTTACTGGATATACTTGTCACATGCCAGACACTGTTCCAAGCACCATATATGACAACATCCATCTTCGTGCTATCATATGAGAGAGTACTATCTGTAGATATGGTTTACTGAAGTCCAGTGATTAGGAAACCTGCCCAGGGCCAGCCAACTGGAAAGCAGGAAAACAAAGATTCCATCCTGTCACCCAGACTCCAGAATTCATGCCCTTAACCGTTGAGTAACGATGAAAGCACGACCTTCTGACACCACGGCACCAGCATGGGAAACTGTTAACCAAGAGGAACTTACCCTGGCCCAGTCCTACAGCAACCATTTTCAAGGCATTCAGCCGCACAAAAAGCACCACTGCAACCCAGGAGCTCACGGGACTGATGCTTTCTCAATAGGTGCTAAGCTTGCTGGGAGCTTGCAGCTGTGAACCCTGGTGGTCCTCACTGGTTCACAGCCCTGGAGGGGGCCTGAGAAGACTGTCAGCCACGTGTTTCCCTTGACAGAGAAGAACAGGGGTACAGAATTATCTAAAGCCATGGAGTCAGCTGGGAGTCAGCTGTGGTCCACAACCATGGGGCCTGGTGAGCGTGAGGTTTTTCTTCCATGTAATGGACAGTAACGAGCAGTGTTAGCAGGCCGTCTGCACTCATTCGATACTTCCTGTATGTTAAAGGCCACGTCTCTTTTACAGAGGGGCATGGAAAGGTGGAGCACTGTCTTGCCTTCCTTGGTGGGAAGGCACCTGGCTGGGCTGCTAGAGCCCCCTGTAGCCCTTGTGTGTTTGGGATTGATATTTACTGCCTGTCGTGAGGGCATTCAGTGGTCCCAGATGTTTCCTCACTTTCTAGAGTGTAGAGGTAAGTCTAAACACAGCAGCTGGCTGCGCCCCAGGCTCTGAATCTGTCTTTCTGGTAGATGTGGCCTCTCGTGGTAGTGGCCAGGTGGAGCTGAGGCAGATCCTCCCCCACCCATCCAGCCTCAGCCTCTGCCTGCCTGGCTCAGCCAGGCTGTGGGCTGCAGCTTTTTATAGTCAGCCCCTCCACCAGGGTGTTAATTTCATTCGCTCACACCCACACTGTGTACAAACATGCAAACCATTAACATTTCCATTTACTAGGCTAGTGTGCCCTGGGCTCCTGGGATTTCTGAAGCAGATAACAATTCCATTTGCAATTACAGCTGTGATTTTTAATTCCCAAGGAAAATTTTTGCCCATGTTGTACTTCCCAGAGCCAAAATGTACACTGTTAGCAACCCTTCCAATTATTTCTGAAAAGGGAAAAGAGAAAGCAAGGCTGCCTACCCACCTTGTGGGAGGGCAGGATTACAAGCCTGTTTCAGAGAAGTCCAAGTTAACGAGAAATTTCCAAGTTTCCCCAGGAGTCTGGGTCAATGAATCAACAACTAAACGTCAATTCTCTATGAAGTCTTCATTTTGTGAAACCATCTTTCACAACGTGAACAACCACCAAGAAACTGACTGTGGGAGCAGCATGGATGCAGGACAGAGGAAGGGACACTACTGTCATTCCCCAGACACCCAGAAAGGTCCCAGAGCCACAGCCCGCATTGGTAGCCCCTACCTACTGAGTGCTGCAGGGCTCTGCTTCCCACACTCACCTCACTTATTACAATGGTGTGCCAGGACACAGCATGCCAGCAGTGAACCTGGGGCAGAACCATGCACTAGCATCCAGCATTCAGGTAGTGTTAAATCAGGTGGCAGACAGGTTAAAGGACATGGGAACACAGTTAAGAGCCTAGTGCTTGGGCACTTTGATTTTCTAACTTTCCAGATCTACTATATAAAAACAGATGGAGGGCTGGGAAGGTGGCTCAGTGGTAGAGTGCTTGCCTTGCATGCCTGAGGCCCTGGGTTCAATTCCTCAGCACCACATAAGCAAAAAAGAAAAAAAGCCAGAAGTGGCGCTGTGGCTCTAGTGATAGAGCACTAGTCTTGAGCTGGAGAGCTGAGGGACAGCACCCAGGCCCAGAGTCCAGGCCCCATAACCGGACCCAAAATATCTATATCTATATCTATCTATCTATCTATCTATCTATCTATCTATCTATCTATCTATCTATCTATCTATCTACAGATAGAGCAGCTGGGTACCAGTGGCTCATGCCTGTAATCCTAGCTACTCAGGAGGCTGAGATCTGAGGATCAAGATTCAAAGCCAGCCTGGGCAGGAAAGTCCATGAGACTCTTACCTCCAATGAACCACCAGAAAACTGGAAGTGCCACTGTGGTTCAAGTGGTAGGGCGCTTGCCTTGAGCTGAAGAGCTGAAGGACAGCACCCAGGCCCAGAGTTCAAGCCCCATGACTGACCAAAAAAAAAAAAAAAGGAGCTATCAAAAAGACGGATGATGATTTCCTTTACTTTTGCCTTCAGAATGCATTTGGGACTTGACCCTGCTAACACCAGCCGCCCTTGGCTCCGTCTTCTCTGAGCCCCTGCCAACATGGGGCCCCAGCTGCCTGCAGCTGACCCACAGGAAGATGTGCTGGGGCTCCCACTCACAGGCACTTAAGGAAGACTGGCCCTGTAGCCTTGGTTTGCTCTAGGGCCTGGAGGCCTCCATCCACCAAGCTTCCACAGCCTGCCTGAAGCTGGCAGAGGAAAAGGCACTGAGGTCAGTCGCTGTGGTGGTGCCTGGGAGTCATTAACAACCCCAGACCGTAAGTATATTGTCCTAAAATCCCATTTCCAAAATATCACTAACATAGACAAATTCTGAAGGACAGTTCAACTCCAGACATGACTTTTGGTTCTGAGATGAGCTTAGGGAAGATGAACTCAGTTCCAGGGTCCACCTGAGCAATCCAACAAACAAACAACAACTCAAGGGCAAGGAGTGCAAGCAACCAAGAGCTATCAGCTGCAACCCTGTCTGCACGGCTCTTGAAAGCTCCATTAGTGACACAAATCCTGCAATTACTCACTGAAAAAGAAAAAGCGTAAACCTTTCTTTACATTTGTCTGTAAACTCAGCTGTTTCCAATAAGGAAATTTAACCCCTTTCAACTTCTAAAACTGTTAAGGTTCATCCTGAAGGTTGTGTGCCCGGGGATCAGACTCAGCAACTGGCTTGCCATTTTTTTTTAAAGTGTGCAAAAACATACATTAAAGAGGACTGGAGTGTGTCAGGGAACAGTCTTTGCCTAGCATATATGAGGCCCTGAGTTCTAGCCCCAGCAAAGAAAGACAGGTGGACAGGCCAGTTCCCATGATAATCTCCTATCCACTTCACAGTCAAATCGCCCACTTGTGTTTCAGGCCATTTAGTTAAATCAGGATCCAATCAAGGACTACGATGGAATATGTTTTCCTAAGGAGCACATTGGCCAAAAAGTATGACTGGAAGCCTACAGCAAATTAACATCCCACCTACCTTCCCCTTACAAAGTGAAAAAGCTTTCCAGGGTTGGGTGTGGCTCAAGTGGTAGACACTCTGAATCCAAACACCAGTACTGTCAAAAATAAAATTACATAATTTAACCACAAATGACAACTACTGTAATGTTGTCAGGCATTTCGTTCCAGGTTACTTTTTTTGGGGTTGGTTTTTTTTGTTTTTGTTTTTTTGTACTGGCACTGGGGCTTGAACTCACAGCCTCAAGATCTTTCTTGGTTTTTTCATTCAGTTAGTACTCTACTACTTCAGCCACACTCTACTTCAAACTCTTTGCTAGTTAGAGATAAGAGTTCATAGACTTTTCTGCCAGGGCTGGCTTAGAACCCTGGTCCTCAGAACTGGGCCTCCAGGTAGCTAGGATTATGTATGTGACCCACCAGCTCTCAGTTCAAGTTATTGTTATTGTTTCCCCATAAGCACCATGTAGAAGGGCTGTTTGGCTTCAGACAGCTGCCACTGGAGCTGTGTGGCCAGGGCAGAGGCCTGGCGAGGTCCTCCCAGCGCTGTCTACAAGGTGAGTAACCTGGGGTCCCCAGGCTGACTGGCCTGGGGCAGGGTTTTATTAAAAGGTTGACTGGTCAGAGTCCAAATGCACTTGAGCATTGTTCTGGGCCCCCGACTCTGTTCTCCCAGCTGACACTCCCAGGAACCTGGGAAGCAGACTGGGTAAGAGGCCAGAATAGCATGTGAGAGGTTACAAAAGTGCCTTGAATGCCTTGGAAGAAAAGTAGCAGATGCTTAAAAGCTTTTAATAAAACATTCTCTAAACAAAACACAACACAAATCATTCAAACTTCTGGCTATCAAACCTTTGGCCTAGGATAGATCTGAACAGAAACAACAAGCAGGCATGCATGGAATGAGACATGACTTCTCAGCCACTCCACGCCACCGTCATGAGATCTGAATCAGCCTCACAACTGCCTGTCACTGTTCATTAAGCCACCATGGAAGGCCAGTGTCCTCTGATCTGGAAAGTGGGCTCCACTCTGGGGCCATCCTTGGTCCACCCTTGCTGCTCAGGGCTTCCTTACCTTGTCTCCAGGGGCACAGATGGGTTCGGCTCAGGGGTTTCTGCTTTTCAACGGCATTGCCCATTCTAAAGCCCGAGGATCACAGAACCCTTCCAGTCCCAGGCGTCTTTGTTGAGTGGCAAAGGACCGTGACACTGCCTGGCAGGGGATTCATCTCTGGGACATCCCAGTCACCCAGTGCAGGAGCCCTGGTATGTCCACCCCAAGAGTACAGAAGGAATTCTACTCTGAAAGATCCCTGCCTCCTGCCTTTCAAAGCCTTCGTCCCAGGGAGGAAACCAGAAGAAAGGCCTCGTTACCGCCCTACCGGAGGGTCTGGGTGGCAGTAATGGTCTATATTAAGCAGCTCTTTCCGCTGCCTCCTTTGACACTATTACTCATAGGCACAGCAGCCTTAGAGAATGGCCAGCAATCCCAACACTCTCTCTGTGCTGCTGTGCCCTGGGGAACAACTGGGGACCAGCAACACAGAAGCTAAGGATTACCATGAGCCAACTCTAGGTGTGTCACAGGAAACTGTCTCCAACAGGCCCACATGTTACACTTTCTATTTAAGGGTCTTGCTCTCAGACTCCTGCGTGCCTTGTGATGGCAGGTCAGAGATGACAGGTCAGAAGAAACAAGCGGATTTATTCTGTATTTCCAAAGGAAAAGCAAAACACCAAAATACAAGCCATACCCAAGTTTCCAGGGAGAAGAACCTGGGGCACCAACACAGTTCCAACTTTAAAAACCTCCACTCCATTTTGGGACTACTAAGCCACCTAAATTCAGAACAATGGGTGTGATGTCACAGAATACCAAATACCAAGGAGGAAAAGGCCAAGGCAGATGGAGAGACCTCACCTCTAGCCCCAAGTCTGGGGCTGCAAAGCTCCTGAGGACCCCCTGAGCACTGAGATGAAAATGTCAGCCCTGGGCCCTGCCCCTGGGCTCCAATCCCAGTCTGTCATTGGCTTTGCCAATGAACTCTGCAGCCTCAGGTCCCTCATCTCACAAATGAGCACAATACAGACCCACCTCCTCAGCTGTCCTAAGGACAGACAGAAGCCACTGCCCAGCACTCATCTTTTTATAATCTTAGCTTGGGAAGCTGTATTAACCAGCTAAATTCACTCAGATGAGAGATTTCTGGCTTCAAGTTAGCCAAAGGCACCAAAATAAATGTGCACTATGACTTCAGGTGGTACAGTATAGGAGCAAATTATAAAACTACAACAAAATTACAGACAATATTAAAAACATTCACAAACCTAGATGGTGCTGGTGGCTCATGCCTGTGATTCTCTATCTACGCAGGAGGCTGAGATTTGAAGATTGAAGTTAGAAGCCCGCCTGGGCAGGAATGTCCAAAATACTTTTATCTCCAATTAACCACCAAAAAGCCTCAATGAAGTGGAGATTAAGTGACAGTGTGAAAGAGTTTAGAGGACAGTGCCTAGGCCCTGAGCTCAAGCCCCAATTCTGGCACAAACTAAAGAAAACTCACAAAACAAGTGAGACTGAGCCTAAGAGAAACTTGTTGGCACAGTGTGGGGTGTGAAGGAGCACGGTGGGGTGTGGGGGAGGGGGCTGGCATGCTGTATGGCCTGTGGGAAGGGGCCCACACATGCAGAAGGGAAGGAGCCATTTTACTCTACTAATATAGGAATCCCCCAGAGCCTGAGATTGCCAACTGGACTAAGGAAATCCCATGTGTCAGTCTCCTCTCCAGTGATGTAGAAAGAAACACAGGTCGCATGTATATACATTTATCTAATTTGGGAAGGGGAATAACAAAATGCTGAAACAAGCACACAGAATGACTCATTGCAACAAAGATACTCACAAGATACTATGTTGGAAATGACCTTTACAACTTGGGGGGGGTAGGGGATGGAAGGGATAGTTGGGGTAACAATGTTCGACAAGAAATGTACTCATTGGGGCTGGGAAGGTGGCTCAGTGGTAGAGTGCCTGCTTTGCATGCATGAGGCCCTGAGTTGGATTCCTCAGCACCACATAAGCAGAAAAAGCCGGAAGTGACACTGTGGCTCAAGTGGTAGTAGCCTTGAGCTGACAAGCTTAGGGACAGCGCCCAGGCCCAGAGTTCAGGCCCCACTACCAACCAAAAAAAAAAAAAAAAGGAAAAAAGGAAAAAGAAATGTACTCATTACATTTATTCATTGTAACTGTAACCCCTCTGTACAGCATCTTTTTTTTCCCCCTTTCCAATCCAGGGGCTTGACCTCAGGGCCTGGGCACTGTCCCTGGGCTTCTTTTGCTTAAGGCTAGCACTCTACCACTTGAGCCACAGCACCACTTGCAACTTTTTTTGTGTATGTGGTACTGAGGAATCGAACCCAGGAATTCATTCATGCTAGGCAAGCACTCTACCACTAGGCCACCTTCCCAATTCTGTACAGCATCTTTGCAATAAACGTTAAAAAAAAAAGGAGGGGGTAAAAATACAAAAAAAAATATATTTTTTAAGAACATGGAAACTTCCGTTTCCCTCCCTGCACCACTGACCTCCTCCCTAGGTCAAACAGCAACCAGAGGCTGGAGAAAGCGGGGCGCGAATCCCCACACACCCGCCCATGGGGGGCAGTAAAATCCACCAGCTGGCAAAGGAACAACGGAAGCTCACCTTCCCTCACCGCCAATAATCACCTCCCTGGCTGGAGAGGTGAGACTTCATTCCTCCTTCCCATCTAAACACTGTAATCATGCTCCTTGGGCAGGTCTGAACACCGACCTGGTGTCTGGCCTCGTGCCTTCCCTATCACCCGCAGCTAGCTCAGTGTACACATCCAGGACCACCAGAGATCAAAGAGACTCTGATTATGAACTGGCTCTGTAACATCTCCTTTCACCTGAAGGAAGGGTTAGCAACATTTGGAAAACAATTCTGTTGCCCAGCAGGGCAGGACCCTGGGCCAGGCTGAGGAATTCAATGGGGACAGGTGAAGGAATGAACAAATGAACAGAAGGATTCTCAGGTTGGCCTCTTCCCCTAGTTCAACTAGTGTTTGAACTCAGGGCCTTGCACTTGCTTGGCTTGCTTGTTCATGGCTGGCACTCTACCATTTAAGCCACACGCAGGAGGCTGAGATTTGAAGATTGAAGTTAGAAGCCCGCCTGGGCAGGAATGTCCAAGATACTTTTATCTCCAATTAACCACCAAAAAGCCTTAATGAAGTGGAGATTAAGTGACAGTGTGAAACAGTTTAGAGGACAGTGCCTAGGCCCTGAGCTCAAGCTTTTTGCTGGTATTTTGGAGATGGTGTCTCTTGGACTTTCCTGCCTGGGCTGGCTTTGAACCACAGTCCTCAGACCTCAGCCTCCTGAGTAGTAAGGATTACACGCGTGAGCCACTGATGCCTGGCAGGTCAGCACATTTCTCATCTACAGAGACTCTCCTTTCCTAGCAAGAATATGAGGGGGGCCATCTTCACCTGCCCTCACCAGGCCCTGCTGGACCCTGTCCCAGAGTTTCCTCTATATTCGCGTTGCCCCTCCCTCCTGCTCCACAGAGTCCTGGAACTTGGCCCGTTTGTAGCAGATCCTGAGCTGGGCTCTCAGAACAGCATACTACAATTATTGGACCTGGTCTCAGGTCCAGTTCACCATGTGTGCCTCACGTGCCGGGTCCAAAACAGCATTTCGTGAGCAAACACATCCTAAGTCCCAACGGCTCACTTATGCAACTCTCCCCAAGGACACATCATTTCCTTGAAAGCCCAGCTTCCAATGAGGGCTGCATCTCAGGCAACATACACTCCCATGATGTGAACTGCTCAGGCTGGGCAGGGGACAGTTCCAGAGCTTGAACTCAGCTTGAACTCGCATTCCCTGGCTTGCTCAGCTGGCGCTCTACCACTTAGGCTATGTCTTAGCCCAGCTTTTTGCTGGTTATTTTAGAGATAAGAGTCTCGGCCTTTTCTACCCTGCCTGGCTTCAAATCTCCATCTTATAGATCTTAGTCTTTTTTTTTGTCTGTCATGGGGCTTGAACTCTGGGCCTGGGCGCTGTCCCTCAGCTCTTCAGCTCAAGGTGAAAGCTCTACTGCTTGAGCCACAGCGCCACTTCTGGTTTTCTGGCAATTTATTGTAGGTAAGAGTCTCATGGACTTTTCTGGCCCGGGCTGGCTTTGAACCTCGATCCTCAGATTTCAGCCTCCTGAGTAGCTAGGATTACAGGACAGATCTTAGTCTTGAGAGCAGCTAGGATTACAGGTGTGAGCCACAGGTGCCTAGCTAAGAACAGCCTATGTAGAAGAATGCCTCAAGAATTACCACATCAGAAAACATGTCATTAGAGTCACTGCCAAGACAGGCTAGTGACCTATCTCTAGTCTATACCTTAGAGAGATAAAAGAAAACTAATAATAAAAAACAAAGAATAAAAAAAAAAAGAGGGGGGGAGGGGGGAGGCTGGGAAGGGATGGGAAGGGTAAACAAAGGAGGAGGCTGCAATGCTTGGTAAGAAATGTACGCATTATCCTGCCCATGCAATTGTAACCCCTCTGTACAGTATGTTCACAAATAAAATAAAATAAAATTAAAAAAAAAAAAAGAGCTGGGTGCCGGTGGCTCAGGCCTGTAATCCTAGCTACTCAGGAGGCTGAGATCTGAGGATCAAGGTTCAAAGCCAGCACGTGGCAGGAAAGTCAGTGAGACTCTTATCTCCAATAAACACTCAGAAAACAGGAAGTGGCGCTGCAGCTCAAGTGGTAGAGAGCTTGCCTTGAGCTGAAGAGCTCAGGGACAGTGCCCAGGCCCAGAGTTCAAGCCCTACAACTTACCAAAAAAAAAAAAAAAAAGAGGGGGAGGGGGCATGCCAGCAATATGATGCTGCACACCTGTAATCCCAACATGCAGGAGGCTGAGCAGGAGGATCACAGGTTCCAGGACAGCCTGGACTGTACAGGAGGGCTCACCACACAGCCAACATGATGTTTCCAAGGGCTACACAAACACTTAAGGCTGAGGTCATGCGTGCTGACTTCAATCAGACAATATCTGACCTCTCTGAGCCTGATTTTTTCACCTATATCACTGGTATATAATTATGCCACCTACTTCATAGGACAGATTAAATGTGTTCA